CTCATTAACTGAGGCCGGATTTTTTTTCTATAGAAAAAAAAGTCTCATTAACTGAGGCCGGATTTTTTTTCTATAGAAAAAAAAGCCTCCTTAACTGAGGCCGGATTTTTTTTCTATAGAAAAAAAAGCCTCATTAACTGAGGCCGGATTTTTTTTCTATAGAAAAAAATTCTCAGTCCTGAAAACTGATTTTTTTCTATAGAAAAAAATTCTTTAGTCCTGAGGACCGCTTTTTTCTATAGAAAAAAAATTCCCCAGTCCTGAGTATCGATCTTTTTTTATAGAGCAAAATTCCTCAGTCCTTAGGACCGTTTTTTTTTCTATAGAAAAAAGTTCCTCAGTCCTTAGGAGCCATTATTTTCTATAGAAATAAAATTCCCCAGTCCTGAGGATCGTTTTTTTTTCTGTAGAAAAAAATTGCTCAGTCCGCCTGATATTTTTCTATACAAAAAAATTCCAGAATTTTTTATTTTTCTGCACTCACTCTTTCTCTCTCTCTCTCTCTCTCCCTTACAGTGTCCACATCAAATTGCATATGCCCAAATCGGGAGGTCGAAAATCTGTCCCACATCGCCATCCATTGAGGCACAAAAAGAATCCCCATCCGCCGCCGCCACCGCCCCATCATGGACATGCCCATATCTCAGCAATACCCACCCCCTTGGATATGACGGGCATTGGGGCAGGTACTGGACCCGGATTAACTCATGTCTTTCATGAAAGTTCCCATAATTATCCGCAATATTTACATGGTCATCAGTCGCCGAAACAATCCAGCATTCACGAACTGGATACTGGTGGCAATGAGTATTACACCACTGCTGATGGCAGTCCAATTGGTGAGGGAGGTGGCAGTGAGGGTGGTACCGCTGATGAAAATGCTGATTTTTTGTTAAATGAATATTTGTCTTCAAATTTTGCCTCCTTCCCCCAACCCACAACCTTTGAGGGTGAAATAATGTCCCAGCCATCGCCAACGAGTATGGCGGGTGCCAGCGAGCTGGCCTATCACCGGCAAAGAGTACGTGAAGCGTCACCCACAGCAACGAGCAGCAGCTATCACAATACTCTTCATCAGCCGTATTTGCATCCGCATCAACATCATCAGCACCATTATGACACTGTGTCCGCTAATGTGATTGCGGCTGATCAGGAGCAGGAATTGCAAGACAATGAGGTCTTGGGATCTCTGGGCCATACGACTACATCGCTGCTGGGCAATACGGCAGCCGAATGGTCCTCTACCATCAACAGTCATTTAGCTAAGCCACCCACCAGGACGGCATATTCCATAGCAGCTAAGGCAATGAAAAATGAGCAGTTGCTAAAGCAAATCATGCAACAACAGCAGCAACAACAAAAACATCCTTTGTCATCGTTTCCTTATCAACCGGAAATTGCAAATACCGTTGCTGGGACGACATCGGCCCATCTGAGGACAACTGCCAAGGACAAATACCGGGATGACAAATTACCACAAATTCTGATGGGTGGAGATGGCGGCCTGGACTCAATGACGGGCTATGACGATGTAGATTTGGTCACGGCCTATAGTGGTCAGCCGGCTAAAACCGAAATCAGTGGAGAAGGGGGCGATGGCATTAAGGCCTTAACGGTGGATGACATATGGTCCCAGTTACAGCGACAATATCTCAACAGATATACGCCTCAGGCCCAGCCGACGGTAAGAGGTGCTGGCTCGACGACCAGGAAACGTAAACGGAATTCGCAGAAATTAAAGACCAAGAAAAGGCAACACCAGCATCATCATAGTATACGGTCAACACCACCATCATCCTCCCTCCTCTCAACGTCTTCCTCATCATCATCCTCCTCCTCTTCTTTTCCCATTTTAAAATTTGACAATAATCATCAGCGATATAATCAAGAAGAGACACAGGCATCAAAACCGCTGTCATCGGGTAAAACCTACATTTCCTACACACCATACAGTTCATCCTCGCTGACCACTTTCCCCTCATATGGATCATCAGCATCACTGGCATCATCATCCCTGGCAGGGGATTCTGATTTATTTGATGGCCGGCGACCAAGTCGTCCCTATCACAGTTTCAACAAAGCCTCCCATTTTCAAAGCGACGATGATGAGGATGAGGAAAACTCACAGGCTGAGGATGAAGACAACAACACCAGCACCAATCCCGATGACGAAGATGAAACCAATGATGAGTTGACCATTCACAACTATCAGCAATCCGCTGAAGATGATGATACTACATCCAGTGATGAATTATTGCGCTACAAAAAATTTGGCAATAATCGCAGTCATCGCCAGAGTAGTCCATCGTCTTATGGCCAGACGAGTCAACGAGTCAGCACTCCGCACAATTATTTTGATTTATATGCTTCATATAGTACACCAGTAGCTGCTGCCACCATAGCAACGCATCCGAATGTGCTGGTGTCCACCTATCATCCCAATTTGTATCACGGCCAGTCGGCCACCATCACTCCCTCTTCCCAATCTTCATCCTCTTCTTCTTCTTCGGCTCCAAGTGACACGGTGGCCGGGCATGAATCAACTTCCTATCAATGGCGTGAACAACAACATTATCCATCCGCCGCCTATCAGACATATCAGCAACAATATAACCACCTCCACCAGAACAAACGTCCCCAGCAGCAACAGTTACAGTATCAGCCGGCCAGCAGTAATGCCTTACATTTGCCCAAGGCAACACAGGCCACAATTGTAGGGACAAAATCATCCTCCCCCACAGCGAGTGCAACACCAGCCACATCTGCCATATCGGCAAATGAGCAACGCTATAAGAAACGCAAAAATCGTTTGAAATCAAAACGCAATCGTATTGTGGTGACTTAAAATGGATTTTTGGAGTGGGGTACAGTACAAAAAGTACTGTATACACAGGATCTATTTGGTCCTTCGAGCTATCTATTGTTGTTAGATTTAAGTTATTTTCCAATGGGTTACGGGCGCTTTAGAAGTAAAATTCCCAAAAATTATTTGTTATACGAGTCATAGGCTCTTAGGTTGCTACCGAATATCAGAACATAAAAAAATATTTATTTATTAAAAAAATTAATAAAAAAAAATTAAAAAATTATTTAATTATTTTCAAAAATTGCGGGGGGGGGAGAAAATTCCTCAGCCTGATGACCGATTTTTTTCTATAGAAAAAAAAAATCCTCAGTCCTGAGATCGATTTTATCTATAGCAAAAAAATCCTCAGTCCTAAATAGCGAAAAAAAATCCTAAAATTTTATAGAACAAAATTTCTCAGTCCGACCGACTTTTTTCTATAGAAAAAAAAAAAAAATCCTCAGTCATGAGGATCGATTTTTTTCTATAGAAAAAAATTCCTCAGTCCTGAGGATCGATTTTTTTCTATAGAAAAAAATTCCTCAATCCTGAGGATCGATTTTTTTCTATAGAAAAAAATTCCTCAATCCTGAGGATCGATTTTTTTCTATAGAAAAAAATTCCTCAATCATGAGGATCGATGTTTTTCTATAGAAAAAAATTCTTCAATCCTGAGGATCGATGTTTTTCTATAGAAAAAAAAAATCCTCAGTCCTGAGGACCGATTTTTTTCTATAGAAAAAAAAAATCCTCAGTCCTGAGGACCGATTTTTTTCTATAGAAAAAAATTCCTCAGCCCGGAGGACCGATTTTTTTCTATAGAAAAAAATTCCTCAGCCCGGAGGACCGATTTTTTTCTATAGAAAAAAATTCCTCAGCCCGGAGGACCGATTTTTTTCTATAGAAAAAAATTCCTCAGCCCGGAGGACCGATTTTTTTCTATAGAAAAAAATTCCTCAGTCCTGAGGAGCGATTTTTTTCTATAGAAAAAAATTCCTCAGTCCTGAGGAGCGATTTTTTTTCTATAGAAAAAAATTCCCCAGCCCTGAGGACCAATTTTTTTTCTATAGAAAAAAATCCTCAGTCCTGAGGACCAATTTTTATTTCTATAGAAAAAAAATCCTCAGTTCTGATGACCGATTTTTTTCTATCATCAGCCCTCATTTCTCAGTACTGCGGACCAGTTTTTTGTCGAAAACTTTAACTCTCAAGCGAGTCACTAAAGGGGTGTTCTAGTTCTTTTTTTGGAATGATTTTTTTTCTATAGAAAAAAATCGGTCCTCATGACAGAGGATTATTTTCTATAGAAAAAAATCAGGACTGAGGATTTTTTTCTATAGCAAAAAATCGGTCCTCAGGACTGAGGATTTTTTTCTATAGCAAAAAATCGGTCCTCAGGACTGAGGATTTTTTTCTATAGCAAAAAATCGGTCCTCAGGACTGAGGATTTTTTTCTATAGCAAAAAATCGGTCCTCGGGACTGAGGATTTTTTTCTATAGCAAAAAATCGGTCCTCAGGACTGAGGAATTTTTTTCTATAAAAAAAATCGGTCCTAAGGACTGAGGAATTTTTTTTTTATAAAAAAATCGGTCCTCAGGACTGAGGAATTTTTTCTATATTTCTCTTTTTTGTCGAAAATTTTAACTCTCAAGCGAGTCAATAAAGGGGTGTTCTGGTTCTTTTTTCAAATATGTATAATTTCACCCTGTGCCATAACCAGTCTGGGTTGTGGAAAAGTGGACTAGATAGTACTCGTTTTTGGATCAAACCCCTAAAAATAGAGTATGGATTCTTCGGCCAAATGTTGTTAAGGTAAATTTGAAGTTGTGACGGTATACAAAGGTACCTCTATCGTTTCAGATTTATTTCGTATTATTTGGAATAGAGTTTTGAAATTTTCTAGGGATCTTTGGATTACATCCAGAATCATGGATACTGAAAATGGGTCATATCGATAAACTTTTTGGAACAGTTAACCTTGGAAGGATAATTCCGATTTCAAGTATTTTTTTACGTTTAGAGAAACTCATTCAGATGAAGAACGCAATTGTTAAGAACGCAATTCCTGTCTAGGAACTAACTGGTTCCTTGAGTTGCAGGGAATTCACTGAGTTTAAAGGAACTCATTGGATTCATAGGGACTCGGGGAGTTCACAGGAACAAACAAAGTTCATAGCAACTCATTTAGTTCAGAGAAACTTCACCAATTTACAGGATGTCATAGAGTATGTGGAGTTTCTACGAGCTCATAAATTTCGCATAAACTTCATGGAGTTTGAGTGATGGCATGTAGGTCCTACGAGCCTTTAGATGTCTAGAATAACTTACCGGCTATTTGAACAATAAATATTTGTTTTTAAATATTTTCATACCTGGAAAGAGAAAATGCAAATAAAAGTTAGCAAAATGTTTCAAATTTCTGGATTAAATCATAAAAGTGAGAATTATTTGTAAGACTATCGATATTCCAAAACCAGTTCATTTTTTTCAAAAATAAAAAAATCAGCCCCAGGGTCTCCTTTATTCAAATGACTCAAGCATTCACAAATATACCCCAGTCCCGTCTTTCATTCCCAACCATTCATCCCCCAGTCATTGCAGCCTACCCACGCAAGCAATGTCCTTCGGCCAGAGGATAATAAATATAGAACGTGCCGAAATACAAAACTTTGGGGAGAATAAATCAAAATTGGAAAATGGATAACAGACCAGACAGAAATATAAGCCGGGTGATAACGCCAGCAAAAAAAAAAAAAACAAACCAGGGAAAATATGATGCAAACAATGGGCGACCCTAAAGCGATGCATTAAATTGTGTAAAGACAAGAAATAATGACTGGCCAATGAAAAAGGAAAGGCAGGGAACGATAAAAATTATCAAATTAACAGCATAGACGAAACAAAGCACGACGCAAAAAAGGCTAATAAATTAACATCAATATTTAATACAAGTTTAATATTACAATAACGATAAATTACTCGTATTTTAATTATGTTCTTGTGATTGTCGTTCTCTTCCCCCCTAAACCACCATTGAATGCAATAAAACTCGAATGGCAGACACATGAACCAAATAGATGTGCATTTAGAACATCTAATGTTTCAAGTGCTCCACACCCCCTTTTTAATCCATCCTCCCATTTAATTTAGGACAACCGATACCATATGCCAACTCATTTGCAGTCATTCAAAAAGATGACATCAACTTCTCCCAGAAGAAAGTACAAACTGTGATGCGCAAAATGAAGAGTATGCCATTTAAATGTTTTGTCTATTGGCTGGCGCTGTTGCATTTTTTGCATTATCTCAACATGACAGCTGGCAAAGGGAAGCACTTGGAGAGTGATTGAAATTTTATAAAAGAAAACAAAAATAGGAACACTAATCTGTTTCAAGGGTAGGCCAATGAGTTGGCAGAAACTAATTGGGTTCAGTAGAACTAATTGGGTTCACGGGAACTAATTCAGTTCGTAGGAACTCACTGAGTTCACAGGAACTCCTTCAGTTCACAGGAACTCATTTGGTTCACAGGAAGTCCATGCCGTCACAGGAACTCCTTGAATTCACAGAATCTCCTTGAGTTCACAGGAACTCCACGAGTTCACAGGAACTACCTGAGTTCAGAGGAACTCATTCAGTTCACAGGAACTCCTTGAGTTCACACGAACTTCTTGAGTTCACAGGAACTCATCGATTTCACAGGAACTCCTTGAGTCCACAGGAACTCATGGAGTTCACAGGAACTCCTTGAGTTCACAGGAATTCCTTGAGTTCATGGAGTTCACAGGAACTCATTGAGGTAATAAGAAGTCTCTGAGTTCACAGGAACTCGTTGAGGTCACACCAACTTCACAGGAACTTTATAAGTTCATAGGAAACAATTGGGGAAATAGGAATTCATTGAGTTCACAGCAACTCCCTGAGCTCACAGGAACTCAGTGAATTCATAGGAAGTCTTTGAGTTCAATAGGAACTCCTTGACTTCACAGGAACTTCTTAAGTTTACAGGAATTTATTGAGTTCATGGAGTTCACAGGAATTCCTTGAGTTCGTGGAGTTCACAGGAACTCATTGAGGTAATAAGAAGTCTCTGAGTTCACAGGAACTCGTTGAGGTCACACCAACTTCACAGGAACTTTATAAGTTCATAGGAAACAATTGGGGAAATAGGAATTCATTGAGTTCACAGGAACTCCTTGAGTTCACAGGAACTCCTTGAGTTCACAGGAACTCCTTGAGTTCACAGGAACTCCCTGAGTTCATAGGAACTCCCTGAGTGAGGAAATATTTGAGTTCGCAGGAACTCCATGCGTTCACAGGAATAAATTGAGTTGACAGGAACTCATTGAGGTCATAGGAACTCCATGAGTTCTCAGGAGCTCCATGAGTTCTCGGGAACTCCATGAGTTCACAGGAACTCCCTGAGTTCACAGGAACTCCCTGAGTTCACAGGAACTCCCTGAATTCACAGGGACTCCCTGAATTTACAGGGACTCATTGAGTTCTATTGAATCAGAATAAATGCGCAATGGAATATTGAAAAGTATTGCTTTTATTGAGACAATATTTTATATTAATATAAAATTTATTTTCTATGACAAAGAAAGACTTCAAGGATTATTTGATTAAATAATAATGTTGAATTAAAGTAGTTATATGCAAAGTATTCTCAACATGCCTCCTCAACATATTATTTCTTCAATTGTATACAATGCCCATATTGGTAAAACAAAATATATGTTTTGGTTTGGGTACAGGTTTTGTAAGGGCATCCGCAATCATTTCTTTCGTTGATAAATAGCTTAACTTGACAGTCCCATCTTGTATCTTCTCCTTTATGAAGTGGTACTTGTAGTGTATATGTTTTGTTCTAGAATGGTGAGCACCAAATTCTGCCATTTTTTGTGCACTTTGAGAATCGGTGTTTATTATTATGGATTCCTCATTAGGAAAACCAATTTCTGCCAGCAGGTAACTCAAGTACGAGGCTTCTTTAGCCGCTTCCGTAAGAGCTACATATTCAGCCTCAGCACTGGATGTTGCAACTACTTTCTGTTTTTTAGATTCCCAAGAGATCACTCCTCCTGCTAGAATAAAACAAAATCCAGATTGAGATTTTCTATCATTGACATCTTGCGCCCAATTTGCATCACAAAAACCCTCGATAGGAGCTGACGTTTTCTTGTAAGAAATAACTGCATTTCTTGTAGTACTAAGATATCTTACTACTTGTAAAGCAGCAGAATAATGTTGTTTCCTCGGATCTGTTGAAAATTGCGATAACATATTAACAGCACACGTAATATCTGGCCTACTGTGCAGTGATATGTATAATAAATGTCCTATTAATTCTTGATATTGCTTTTCGTCAACTTTTTCTTTTTCTCCTGCAACTTGCGGTTCCTTTTCTAACTTCATATTAGCTATCATGGGCATCTTGACTGGTTTGCATTTCTCTAAATTATATTTCGTTACTAACAGTTTTATGTATCCTGATTGTGATATTGAAATTTCATTTTTCTTTACATATACTTCAAGACCAATGCAATGTTTTGGAATACCCATGTCTCGGATATTAAATTTTGACTGAAGTGTCTTAACAAATTTTTCTGTCAATATCTTGTTATTACACGCAATGACTATATCGTCAACATAGAGTGCAACAATCATGCAAGATTCTGCATTGTTGATGTAATACATACACTGGTCATACTTTGATCGGTTTAAACCAAACTCTAAAATTATAGCATCAATACATTTAAACCATTGTCTTCCAGATTGTTTGAGTCCATAGATAGATTTTTGTAACTTGCATACCTTATGTTTTGTTGCCTCTTCTACAAACATCTCTGGCTGCTCCATGTAGATTTCTTCGTCTAATGTTCCGTTTAAAAATGCTGAAGATACATCTAGTTGCCGTAGTTGAAGATTATGCTCCGCTGAAAGAGCATAAATCAATCTCAATGATGTCTGTCTTACAACCGGAGCAAACGTATCCACATAATCTATACCCATAACTTGGGAGTATCCTTTGGCGACCAGTCTTGCTTTGCGTTTTTCTACTGTTCCATCAGGTCTAATTTTTGATTTAAAGACCCATCTGCAACCAACAGCTTTTCTTCCTTCTGGTAAGTCACTTAATGTCCATGTTTTGTTTTTCATCAATGATGCGTATTCTTCATTAATAGCTTCATTCCATTCGGCAGCATGGTTTGATGATAATGCTTCTTTAATTGATCTTGGGTCCATACTTTTTTCATCAACCATATGGGACGATTCATTATTTTTCCTAAATGACCATGACCTTAGTCGATGTTTAATGGATTCAAGTGGTTCTTGACTGTTCGTTCCAACAGATTTGGTGTTATTGTTATCAGGTTTATCTGGCTTCTGATTGATTTTTTCTTTGGAAATTTCTATGTCAAACTCCTTATCATCACGTTCCAAAAGCCCGTCGTTTGATTCTTGCTCATCATCATTTGATATTTCATTATTAATATTGTCAAGAGTTTTGATTTCAAATTCATAAAATAAATCAGTATCAGCTTTTTTTGTATTCTTGAATAACTCGTTTTCGATGAATCTTACATCACAGCTCTTTATAACATTTTTGGTGCCCGGTCTCCACAACCGATATGACTTTGATTCATTTGAGTATCCCACTAATATATACTCATTACTTCTTGCTTCCCATTTGGATTTAGACTTCTTATTTAGGGCAAATGCTTTACATCCTATTTGCCGCAGATGTTTCACGCACGGTCTCTTACCTGTCCACAATTCTTCAGGGGTTTTTCCATTATTTAAATTTGTTGGACATCGATTTCTAATATATGCTGATGTATTTATAATTTCAGCCCACAAAGAAGTCGGTAGATCAGCCTCTAACATATAACAGCGACCCATCTCGACTAACGTCCGATTCATACGTTCGGCAACTCCATTCTGCTGTGGGGTGTATTCTACAGTAAGCTGACGATGAATACCACAATCTTTCAAGAACTTTGAAAATTTTTCGCTGACTAATTCTTTGGCATTATCACTTCGCAATATCTTAATTCTCTTTCCAGTCTCATTTTCTACAATTGCCTTAAATTCCTTAAAAGCCTCTAAATATTGATCTTTATGTCTGAGAAAATAGACAAAAACTTTTCGTGAGAAATCATCGATGAATGTTGCAAAATAAAGGCTTCTTCCCATTGACTCACACCTCATTGGACCACATAGGTCTGTATGAATAAGTTGCAACACATCGGTGGATGATTTTTCATTCTTTCGGGGAAAAGATTTTCTTGTTTGTTTTCCACGAATGCACGCTTCACAATCAATTTTTATTGTCTTCAAGCTAGGTAATCCTTTCACCATTTGAAAA